TTGAAACGTATATATTGTGGGTTCGCAAGTATAATGCTCGCAATACCCATACAACTTATGCGAACTGATTCTCTGAATCATAAAATCTTGTTCAGTTGTTACTCGTGTTGGAGTAGCACGATTATTGTGGTGGTTACAATGTTAGCACATTAGATACAAACGAAGCAAGTTGTGCTGTTTTGTGGCAAGAACAAAAGTGGGAAAAAAACATAAAGATAAACAAATCTAACAATTTTTGTTGAATGCCCATTGTGTGTATTAGAAAACAGTTCTGGAACGCATTTTGTGGCTGGATCGCATCGATTGTATACATCTATGTAAAAGGCACGGGGCTTCATTCATCAGAGATTCCAAATTTTATTGACAGCAAAAATAAATTTTATGTTCGAACGTAAATGTATGTGGGTTTTAGAATCAGAGATTAAAATTGATTGATTGCGTTTAGATGTCGGTGTAACTCAGCTTCCGGACGAAATAAGATGTAGTGTGTTTTAGAAGGAAATATTAATAGGCGCGGTGAATAGAATAAAATGGTTGAGATTGCTCTACTTTGTTGAGAAGGCGATGATGCTTTTTGATGTAGGTAATTATAATTTCATTGCCTGTCCGAAAGTAATGCATTAATAACCAAGCCCTTCATTATATTTTCATCGATATATCTGCGCTAACGCATCCATGTGCGCAAAAAGAAATACCAAAAAATGATTTCATTGAGTCACTTTCGACTCTGACAATCCCACATTCACATTTCATGCGGCTATGATCGCCTATTTATAGGTTCCAATATTATTAGCGCTTCGTGATGGACATTTCCTGATTGAAACAAATTCATCTTATAATTGCGTAGAAAATAAGCGAATAAAAACAAACATTGAAAGAAGTAGACGATCTGAAAATAGCTTCATTTGTATTTTGACTGGTATTCCGGCTAGAAAGTCCTTTGATGAACCAATAATAAGTTTTTTCACTGAATCGACTTCATCTTTCTTTCTAGTGAAATTACGAACTCATCTGATTTCGGTCTATTAATGAAAATTGAAGTGAAAGAGCACGAAGAACATTTTTGTCTGTTTTCTTTCAAATATTTTTTTGCGACAAGGTGTGGGACTGCTCTTATCGTTCGAACAAATTAAAAACGTTACATTTTATATCGTTCAGAAACTATTATTATTATTTAACTTTAAAATAATCCTATTAAATCTTATAAGTCTAAATTATAGTTTGCGTAATTACTGGTGGTAGGACCTCTTGTGAGTCCGCGCGGGTGGGTACCACCACCCTGCCTATTTCTGCCGTGAAGCAGTAATGCGTTTCGGTTTGAAGGGTGGAGCAGCCATTGTAACTATACTTGAGACCTTAGCACTTATATCTCAAGGTGGGTGGCGCATTTACGTTGTGGATGTCTATGGACTCCAGTAACCACTTGATACCAGGTGGGTTGTGAGCTCGTCCACCCATCTAAGCAATAAAAATAAAAATAAAGATAAATTTTACTCCAATAATACAAGAAAAACAAATAATATGAGAGTTTACAAATGATCCGTTCAGATTTATTAATTAAATCCGAATCGATGTAAACTGATTTTGTTGTCATTCAGGAAATTTAAATTTTACTTTCTATAAATGAGAGTGAAGCACATTTGAAAAATTATTTCTAGAATAAAATGTTGTTCCGCGTAATTGTCTGTAGACTACTCATTAAAGAAATAGAATATTTTTGTAATTTAATTAATATATGTCGCCAGTGGGATACGCCAAAAATTACGTTATGAATCAGACAAACGAGCATTGTTATAGTACGGGTGCGGTGTCCGGCTGTGGAGGTTGTTCATTGACTGTCCACCAATTGAGAAAATTACCGCGATTGCAGATTACTAAACCATTCATAGCGAAGTAAACAAACAGGTCTGTAAGGCCAATGCATTTGAAAAAATGTGGTTGAATTATGTGAAGATAAAGAATAATAAATACTAATATTATGACTGAAAGTTTGAATGTGTGGTTGTTTGTTACTCAATCAAGCAAAAGTCATCGAATTTGAAGAAATTTCATACGTAAATACTCTGAATTAACACATCTTAATTGACAAATAAATCTGAATCTGACATCAAACAACATCTGAAATATCTGAATTAACAACAATCACAACTTTTTATCGTAACAAATTACGTGACCTGGGTCATGCCGGGTATATCTACTGTAATACACCAGTAAATTATGTCTGTCTGTTCTGTTAGCAGATGATTTTACATTACAACTGTATGATAGTTTATGGACAAGAGACTGAAACAAGAAAATTATTTATCCAGGGAAAATGCAACGTGTTTCGTTCTTTCTGACAATAACAAATTTAAGCCAAGTGAAACCGCAAAGCACGCTTTGTATAAAATAACTAAACAAATTTTGATACGAATAACTAAGCCTGAATGGGCCTAGCTGCCCATTTTGATATAGGGATATGATTCTCCTTTATATTGATTTGAATGTACATTTTTATATTACGAAATAAAATCGGCCGAAAAATGTATTTATAAATCTATTAAATCATTTTGTAAATGAGTTCAGGCATGACGAATGATAGGCCTGAATGAAAAAAGTGGACATGTTGCGCCCACCTCACATCCTGGGATTAGAGCTAAAAGCATTAGTGTTTATTCGAAATACTGGTTCGCAGTGGTCACAATTATAGCAGTGCCTTATACATTGTATACATTTGTAAACATCATACTCGTTTTCCTTGCAACTTGTAATGATACCTCGTTTCCGATAAAGATAACTTTACATTCGTCTGATTCTTATACGTATCTGATTTCTCATTACTATGCAAAGTATGAATGAAGAATTAAATAAACTAAATAAGCGAACGGTGGTTTGTTTGCTTCTGTGATTTGTCGAACATGCATTTCGATTTACATGTACGGGTTAAATGTGTTATCATCGTTGCCCCCAGGTGAACGGAATTGGAATACACGACAATGATATTGTCAGAACGCTACTAAAATAGTAAGTTCTAATAGGTAATATACTAATGTAATATGTAACTATACTGAGATCTTAGAACTTATATCTCAAGGTGGGTGGCGCATTTACGTAGTAGATGTCTATGGGCTCCAGTAACCACTTAACACCAGGTGAGCTGTGAGCTCGTCCATTCATCTAAGCAATAAAATAATAATAATAATAAGTTCGAAGTTCTAAGTGGTTTATCAATATTAACTAAATCGATTACCTATCTTTGGTCTAGTGGATAGTGGGCTTGACTTCTATACCACGGAGCTTAGTTTCAAATACCGTTCGAAATGAAGATAGTCTTTGATAAAGAGTTTTGATATTTTCGTTCTGTGTAAACATGTTCTTGTTTCATTTTTTTTTTGTTACCTATAAACATGAAAACATGAAAAAAATCTTATTAGTTGTTTAAAAAAAAATCCTGCCACATAAATCGGTATTAAGACTTTTTAAAACATTTTTCTTGGATCTTTTGTATTTGCGTGTTCGTAACTATGTATAATAAATTAGTAGGTGCGAACTTAGGCTTATTACTCACCACGGCTTTGTTAGTGCGGAACGCCTATCTCCACATTATAATTAAGCCTTGTTAATTACAGACTTTGACATAATTTTATTGTTATGAGTGCGCAATAAAATTCAATGTAACATTAAGTCCGGTCCAGGCCTAATGATTTACACGGCAAACTTTTGTCGTAACCGAGATTTACGATGTCGCATAACCGGCTATTTTTGAAACAGTTCGACTCTCTTTGCAGGTTAATTATAGACTAACAATATAACAAAATAATATTTGTGTTTTAGTAGATCGCCTTGAAAGTCAATACTGTTCTAGTTTATGAGTTACGGTTTTGTTTCTCGAAGCGATTTTTTTACGTATTAGATGTGAATAAAAATGTCTCAGCGTAGTAAATGGAAACGTTAAACAGACGTGGCTTTTATAAAGTTTAAAAGATTGCGTCTTAATAATTTAAGACTTTCATTTAACGATACGAGCATTCTTGGAATTTATGAAAACAACGAAAATCGTATCGATTGGCTTGCTATCTAAGACTTAAATAAACTTTGTAGGGGCCATTGTAAGCCAGCTCGGCTGGTTGCTCTAACCTAACTAATTCCACCACGAGGAATTCTGGCGAGGATGAATAGTAGGATAGTTGTATAACAATGATGATAACATTGAGGCTTCAATATCATGCCTTGAAGCGGACGGTGGCACTCACTTTGTTATAACTACAGGCTCCGGTGCTCACTTAAAACCAGACGAATCGTGAGCACTTTAAGTGAAAACAAAAAGCCTTTTCATGATCTTGAAAAAATAATTTTTTTTCAGGTTGAACGGAATCAAGGCTCTTTTCTTATTTATTGAAAACATATAATGCAAGAATTTTGTGCTTCAGATACTAAAGCGATGATAACAACTGATCAATATTGTAACATCATTAAATTCGAAATAATATGCGAATGTATACGTCATTCTTTCATCAGTTTAAAAAAAATACGTTGTACGTATTTTATAAACAAAAAGATAAAAACTTGCGTGAACGAACGCAATGTCATAAATATTATCTTGTTTTTCATATAAGCTGTGGGCTCTTCTTTGATACAACTATAGATTTGTAGTGGGGTCTGATTTAAAATTTGTACACATGACCCTTAGGGCGTATTTTACGTTAGCACGGGTGGGTGTCTATCAGTACGTCATCCTGCCTATTCTGATTCAATTGTGACTTCGATTTCATGACTGAAAGTGGGTGGAGACATTCAAGTCGTGATGCTTATCGGCTCCTGTAATTTAACATCGGTTAGGTAGCTATTTCGTCCCATTAAGCATTATATGACATTTGAAATTGAAAAACTTTTAGAATTAAACATTGAAACTTGTTTGACTTTGTAAATGTAATGACGAAATTTTCACTTACATACTATTGCTTATAAATGCATTTCGTTCACAGATTTAAGTTTAATAAGGGGTAAAGCAGGTTTGAAGACAACAAAACATATTCACGAAAGGTGTTTTGAATTAATTTTATGTATTGTAATTAATAAGTGACATCTTTTTCAGGTTATAACGACTACTACTTTATGTTAGCGCATTGAATGGTAATATCATAAAGTTAATTATAAAAACTCACTTATCTACTACTATTACCGTAGAAAACTTAAGTCATTCTTGTATTTATTTACACAGCTGTCTCAGTCTTAACAGTCAATTCAATCTCCAGTACGTATTAGTTTTCGTGCTGCAATTGTGTGTTAGAAAATATCTATATATAATAGAACTTAATGTGTTTTTGTTTCTAGACTTTGTCTGTTCCTATAGAGCCGGTTAGCGGTAATAGTGTTTTCATTAAATTTTGTTGAAATGTAGAGTTACCTATTCAGTTTTCTTTTAAGTAAAGCAGACACCAATTAGCGATCCACTCTATTATAGCGTTAAGGAAATTCCCAAATTATTCTTCACCGTGTAATAGCAAACGTAAAAAATCAGCATGCTAGACGTAAGATTTCACATCCCCGAGCAATTATTTCACGGAGTNTAGCGGTAATAGTGTTTTCATTAAATTTTGTTGAAATGTAGAGTTACCTATTCAGTTTTCTTTTAAGTAAAGCAGACACCAATTAGCGATCCACTCTATTATAGCGTTAAGGAAATTCCCAAATTATTCTTCACCGTGTAATAGCAAACGTAAAAAATCAGCATGCTAGACGTAAGATTTCACATCCCCGAGCAATTATTTCACGGAGTTAATTTAAAATTAATCCCCACCCTGTATTTATAAGACAACCATTCACGTTAGATTCACGGTGAAAAATATTTTTCCCAGGGTTACGCAAGCGGTAATTGTGGTGGAGGACCTTAGTTGCCATCTTCCGAAGTGTGGTAAGTGAGGCACTCCATTTATACACAGTCTGCCCGACGTGATTCCGGAGAGAAATATTTTGTCGATTGTACCGCTGTTGTCCTGTTAACATAGCTTCATGATGCATACAGAAACGTTGCGGAACATAACGCATAAATAGATCTTTCCCGGGAACCACCGGAAGCAAATTCTCACAACGTAGTCTAGCCGCTTTAGACCATAGCCAGCTTGCTAGATACTTAAGCGTCTAACGGTCGATGTCACGCTATGCATGGTAATCATAAGAGCACGATTTGTATTGTTCACACATTACCGTGATTTATTTTTTAGTTTTTTTTTTCTTGCACATTATTTTGGTATTTTTGTACCGTATTTTATTCAGCACAATTCTCGGTTATACTGTAGTAAAGTTGTTTTAAACTAAAATGCTTCGTAGAATTTGGTTTCAAAAAGCTATCGGAGTAATCGTAGGAGGCTCCAGGAAGGGCTTTAGCCAGTGAACCTGAGCGTAAGCCAAGTGATCCGTGTAATGGAAAGTCTGGAAGCTGGCGTCGATACCTTACTCTTCAATTTTTGTGCATATCATATTCCTACGGAAACCTTTTGGGTATATTTTTGTTCGAGAATATTTTCGACTTTGATAAGTCGCCAGATTTTTTGCCGTGTCTCTAGTTTGGAAATTTAGAGTAAAAGGCTTACCCCTAATCTGTGTGATAAAGTTCAATGTGCCGCCGATATTTTGCAAAATTTTTTGAATTTTAATTACAGAACATATATGTGTAGGTACTAATTGTATGAAAAAGTCAGTAAAATCAAAGCTTCTCAGTTATCGATATACATAGGTATTTTTCATACGCAAAAATGACTTGTTTGCTATTTATTGTTTTATGAGAAATATTTTTATTATTTCCAGGCCTATAATATTACTATTGTCAGTTTAATTGAAATCAGTCTCATTTAATCTTTATTTTAAGCAAAGTATGTCAAAAAATGAGGTAGGTTATAACGGCGATAAACTTAGATAGTACGCACGTCTTAATTACTACATCTTCATATCGTGTATTGCATCGTTGTTATTAATTGAATTTGTGTTAATGACTGATATCAAAATACCCATTATGTATTTATATTTTTGTCACGTTGGATATTTTTTTTGGTGCATTCGCGTACTTGATAGTATATTTTAAGGCTATATAAACGAACTGATTTTACTCTTTATCATGCAACAAAATGTTTCTGGGATCGTTTTATGCACAAGTTTCTTGTAAGGTATTTCATTTCGTTTATTTTTAGGTTTGATTACGCATAGATTTCGAAATTACTCATTCGATCACTTTTCTAATAGGGCTCTGATTCAAAACGAAAGAAAATTAACAAGACAACGTTTTTAGTTAAAAGAAAGAATGACAATTTAGTTTTCTAAACGCCCCCAAAGTACTCCAATCAACTCGTAAGAAATACATTGAAATGTATTTATTATCTGCAATTTATAGAATTGTCACCTTAATTTCTATGGAGTGTCCTCAGTTTCCTCTGATAGCTAATGTTAACGAGGTGTCGTAATTTGTTTTAATTTTCGCAGGATTTTGAATACCATACATACAACGTAGACGGACAATCAATGACAGCTGCTTCTCTGGATGCAGAATATTAACGTTCAACAATATTTACGAACGAAAATTTATTAAAACGGTGAGAATGTAAAACATATGGTTTTCTTGTTTAGCAATGGTCACGAAATTTTTATTACTTTATTTTATTTTACTCACAATGCAATACGTTTTTCTGCCTTAGCGCCCCTTATCCGTTGGGTTTCCACTTCCGTCGATTTATGTTTGTGAGATTCAGCCGTTTCTGCAATCTGCTTTTAAATTTATTGATCTACCTAGTGCGGGCATGCCCTACGCTAAATTTACCGCTCCAAGGCCCCCGTTTCTTGAAATCTCTTCGTAAACATTTTTATGCAACACTCAGAGGTGCGTACGGCGACTAGTATGTTTATATTTGAGAATAAATGTATTGATATGTTTATATGAGATACATTAAATATTAGACTCAGAGTAGTGGTTTTATCTCGGTCGATAGAAAACATAAAGAGTCCGTTTTTTTTTGTTCTTAAATGAAATAGATTTCGTTGGTTTTCCTATAAGTTATAATTCAAACAAATAAAATAATAATAATTGGAGTCGAATCACAGAAGTTCACCTAGCCTTGAACTAGGAATCCCCGTACTATGTTTACGTTCTAACGTAATACACATCCGGATTAAGAGGAAACAAACCGCTAACTACATCACCGTCCCGAAGATCCGGGTTTTTTTAGATTACTTCAATGATTGTAAAAAAAAATTAAGAACTTTGAAATATCCAATACTGCTTCTGTTTGTGATGTTTCAAGTATCCTTCTGTTCGAAACTAAATAATGATTCAACCCGATAATTCTGTTTAGGTTCCAATATGAATACATATGTACGGGTTTTAAGAATTCATTTCATAAGCTTTAATACAAACATTTTTTAACTGTTAAGTATTCTTTAAACATTTATAAGATTATTTTTTTAAACCATTTAATCTGTCTCCTAACAAAGAAACCTATTAGTAGCTTATGCAGGGGACCATTTAATACAAGTTAATAAAATAAACATGTCTTTGAAGTGACCGTTATTAAGCTGTCTTTTGTGTTGTAAAACGTAAATGATGACGAGGCCGACTTGAGACATGAGAGAGAAATTAAATAGAGTAACAAACAATACGATTCAATGCAATCGAATTTATAAATATTTTTGTACTCTGTAAATTAGAGACTCTCTCTAATGCAATTACAGTCTCTAATATTTTGAAGTTATACTTCTTTCGGTGCGTTATGAAAAATTGATGAGAGTGAAATTTTACGATGCGCGCGCATCGTGACACAAAATTAACAGAATTAAGTTGCCCACTAAATCGCTCATTACAATACGACCGACGTAACTTGGCGAGTCTGAATATAGCCGCAGGTGAACTTTCGCGCATGTACACTCGTAAAAAAAAGTGTTATTAGCATTAATTTTTTAGTAATATAAATGACAAAATTATTATTTAATATAATTCATACTAAATATTATAAAATTATTAACGTTAAATATTAATTATTAATTATTTAATATTTAAAAAAAAAGAAATAAATTTAATAAAAATAAAGTATAACTTCTTATGCGCGTACATAAGTACACGCACCCTTTTTTTTTAATTAATTACAAAATATTGGTATCAGTTTGGTGATCATCTGCGTCAGCTGAAAGTTCACAAGTCTTCAGTCACGATTTACGAATCAGGGTTTGGGGTATCAGGATTTAATGAGCCCTGATGGTCCATAGACCGGTCATCAGGTCGGTCGACTAACGCGACTAAAATTATAGTGCCGATCGCCACGATTTGATCCGCCGTATTACTATCGCCATTGAGAAAGAGATTTGTGATAACGAATAATGATAAAAAAAATTGATAAAAATGGTAAATATGCTTGTATGGAAATGTTTTTAATCATATTTATTAAAAACTCAAGTACACTCGTAGTGCCTCAATCGATAAATAAAAGACCTAAACTTTTGTATAAAATAAACTTAAAACAAACAAAAGGAATCCGTCCTCGGGTTACGAATGGTAAACCGTCGACGTCGCCCAAAGCACGTCATTACGGATCCTCCTGATCCATTAACGGTGCTTTTAGGCACTGCAAGCACCGGTCACCGTCCTCGTCGAACCCGTCGCTTGCGACGAAGGGCTCGACGAGCGAACTAACCCATAGACACAGCCCACTGAGTTTCTGGCCGGATCTTCTCAGTGGGTCGCGTTTCCGATCCGGTGGTAGATTCTGCGAAGCGCTGCTCTTGCTAGGGTCAGTGTTAGCAACTCTCCGGTTGAGCCCCGCGAGCTCACCTACAAACGTTAGGGTGAAGCTGAAATAGCCTCTCAAGGCTATCAGCAGAGGTAGGGAAAAAAAAAGTCCTCGGGGGACACATCAAAGGAAAAACAAAATTGTTATTTTTATTTAATTCCGAGCATTTTCATATTTATCTACCTTTTATGGACTTCCACAAGTAATTAAAAAATTAGTCAAATCGGTCCAGCCGTTCTCGAGTTTTAGCGAGACTAACGAACAACAATTAATTTTTATATACATAGATTTATTGTTGCAAATATTTTAATCTGCATGATACTGTATTCCAATGTCCGTTCTTAAGTCAAAGTTATAAAAGGTGGTAAATTTACATCAATAGGCTATCTACTTTTCGTTTGGTTTGGTATAAATTCACCGTTTGTAGGTTTGCGACGGGGCATTAAAATTTGTAAACAAAAAACGTGCAGAGATTACTTACATCAAAACTCGATAGATGGCAGTATACCAGTTTCCTATCTAGATAAATATGTATACATAACAGCAAAAGAGCCTTTCTAGTTTTACACAACTTATAGATAACAGTAAAACTTGCTCTCTGAAAATAAATCAACTCACGTGCCAGATCTTCAAGTGTGTCACACATACACGGCACATTCATTTTTGATAGCCAGACCTTGGGACTCACGCTAGTCCGCCAAATAGTATATATTTTACTTAAACTTTTAGTATATAATTTTAATTAAACATATTAGCCATTTATTATTATTGAGCCAACGTGATCTTTATTCTTTATTCGTCCTAATTAACGTTTATTTTGCTGAGACAATCAAAGGATCTAGCTATTGATACTTTATTGAATAATCAAATTTTAATTCGAGTACTGCTGAGCGTTTAGAAATATAACAAACATAATATCACTTATCGAATTTATTCAATACTAAGTTACTCGCACAGTTTTACAATCCATACAGTTGAGAAACGCTTTTGATGTTGGACGACACCGCCGCCCGTGTAAGTACTTACGTACGCCATCAGTCCTAACTGTGCAAGGGTTGTCAAAAATTGTATATTGTTAAATAAAATTATGTAATTTATTCGCATTCGGATGAACAATCTTATAAAAGGGAAACATGAGCATAGCCGTGATTTATATTATATTTTTCTTAATTTGTTAAATAATTTATCTAACATATTGTTTTACGTTTGTTTATATTTTTAGAAACTTCTTTTGAAAGAAGATAAAGACGATATTTGACTAGGTAATACGGAGTTATAGAAATAAACTTACCTCGTGTCACGAGAAAATTTATAAAATCTTAACTCCTTGTTGTATTTTTCTGTAGAATCATATCCGTATATCGAACGACTGTACATCATTATAATGAACGTAAAAGATGATTCTCGCAAAACTTTTGAGTGCGCAAACTGAGGGCGATCGGGGGTCGCAATCCGCGCCATTCGGCCAGATCCCGCCTTTATTTTACGCTAGTAAATTCGTTTCCTAATTGTATATATTGTAAAACTGTGGTACTAGAGTAGTTTTGCTCACGGTATATTTGAAGTTCAGAACGCATTCGTTTTATCTGTTTACTTTGCGACTCACGTCATCTAAGCAAAAAATATACATCGCAAATGCTCAGTTCTAATCATAGACTTTACAATGTCAAAAAAAATTAAAGATTAGATCAGTATCTTTTGCGTGATTTTTGTTTGAAAAAAATATATTGAGCAACACAATAATTTTTTTTTGACGCCTACCATTTTACCTCACTTTAAACTGAAATACGTTTATTTCATATAATGTGCTCAGAATTCAATTGTAAAGACATAAGCATTTACAACTTAAGATATTACTTGTCCTTGAGATGTTTTTGATATAAAAATGACTATTTTTAATTACTTCAATTACGATCAATGTATAATAGGACTTTGTGTAATCGACCAGACTGGACTAGTCTTTTTAACTTTATCTCTGTTGGAGCAGAAATAAAAGGTTAACAGTCCTGACTAAGGGGAGGGACGCTTTAGCTAGACATTTAGGTAGCCCAGCAATTTGTCTTTTTTAAATGAATTAACGTGTTCCATTTGCAGTTGGATTCAGTCGGTGCCGGCTAACTAACAGACAAAAACCGGTGACAACTTTGTTAACGAATCTGATTGTTCATTTCCGTGACAGGAAGGCAACACTTATCGCGTGGATTATTTCAACTACTCGATTCAATGTAAAATTGGATCTTAATGCGAGAATATTAATCATAGTTTTGCTTGACACATTGTTACATATTTAAAGCTTCAGACATTATACAGCATTCGTATTTTTCTGTAAATTAATTAATTTCATGTTTTCATTAATTAAAAGAGATCAGTAATGTTGGAAAGCTCAAGTTTTTCAAATGATTTTATTAATAATGTGGCTAAATGTAATTAAATTTAACAGATTTCAACATTTTTGGTATTCGCATACTCGTAATTCATTTTCTATTTTGAAAGAGATCGATGTTTTGTAGCCCTGCTTTGTCTGTAAATTATGTAGGAAGCTACTGTGCCATCGAACGAATATTGGTTTATTAAGCAATTATTACAACCTATTAGCGTCTCATATGAGTATAATTTAAGGAAGGAGAGGAAGAGGTAGACCTAAGAAGAAATGGATAGATTGTGTGAAAGATGATATGGGTAAGAGGGGAGTGAGCGAAGAAATGGTATATGATAGAAGATTATGGAAGGAGAAAACATGTTGTGCCGACCCCAGGTGACTGGGAGAAGGGCAGGATAATGATGATGATGATGAGTATAATTTAAGTAAGCTGTGT